CGCCACAGAGAAGAAATGCAAAGCCACACCCATCTCCAGTGCGGAGAGGAAGAAGCCTGTTTCAGAGCCGGAGACCCTGACCTCATCGCTGCATGGGGGAGGGGTGGCCGCGCTGAGGGGTGCGGAGGGACGTGGCAGGTACAAGGCGGGGTATGTGCGGAAGTCCTGGGGCGACGGCGGGGGTCAGTGCGAGGCGACCCTGAAAGGAGGCCAACAGGACCGGGGGTGGGGGAAGAAAGGGGAGAAATGTTCACTACAAGGCCAGGTTAAAGATGTAGCCTTACCAAGTGGCACCTTAGGCGCCAGGTGAATTTACAGCTGAAGGATGGAGTCCAATTCCCCGAGGACGTGATTCTGTTCAGCGACCGCATTTTGGGGAGGGAAGGGGCGGGTAGCAGTACTCGAATTCCGAGTTATCTTCATTGATGCCCAAGTCCGTGGCAGCTCTGAACGGATGGCGGCACCACACACCTTCATGCCAATAAATCTAGGCTTTGGTGCCCCGGCTTGGTATGATGGCAAACAGGTAGGATTAATTTCTTGTTAAAATTATGCTCTGGATCAAATTACTTACGAGTACAATGGATTATAAATAACACGGTGTGAGCTACTGAAATCCACTCACGTTTCCTGTGTGCAGGAATAAGTAAGATGCGGTGCCATTTACGGTTTACAAATTTATGGGCCCAGAGTAACAGGTCCCGGCTACGGCACGGGGAATAGTTTCCTTTTAAACGGCAATTTGTCCTCTAACACTGGCCAGTAAAAATTTTAGTTTTGCACTTGCGTGGCAATACCAGGACCTGGTCCTTTTCGGTACTTCAGAATTCAAAAGTCACACGATTGTAAAACTGAAAGAGGTCTGTGTGGGTCGCTGCAATGCTCTCCTCTTCCTACTGCTGGAAAGAGTCACGTTTGCACCTCTGTGCAAGCCGAGGCTCTCCTTGACTAGCAAGATATCTGAGAAAAGGTTTTTTCTTGGAGTGAAGACCTGGCATTTAAAACTTCTTATGAAGTTCTGCCCTAGACATTGCTTATGTTGATCAAATATCCTCCTGCACTTGTGAAAATAGCCAAAAGTTTGGATTTATTGAGTATATTCTGGAGATATGCACCGACGCTCTTGCTTCCACATAAGAGATTAGCATCATACATAAGGATGAATAAGGTCAAAGACCCCAGCAGCATGAGGAAAAATATCTGCCAAGCCTTGAGATAAGGGAGAGTTTTTTAAATTTAATTTATGTAAACTAGAGCCATAATTATGAAGGGTAAGGAACACATGTGAAAAAAATGAGATGGGAATAGATCCTAAAGGGCATTTAAAGTGCTGGGCAGTCAGCTGGGAGACTAGCTGCCGTGTCTGAACAGCACTGAAAGACAAAGGCTGGCTATACACGTGAAGTTTTGCGCACAGGAAAGACGGGTGCAGAGACAAGCCAGGATAACAAAACAAACTATCCGACACGATCATGCTACAAACATTAATGTTCCGATATGCTACTAGTCAGTTCTTAGAAATTCATTAAGAATAGAATGTCTGCCTAAGAAAAATGTAAAAGCATAAAACTGCAACAATTTAATGTATTTGCATTATGTCACAACCTGCCTTCTTTAGTAGTTGGACCAGAACAGCCAGCTTTTTTTTTCCTGGGCTCTGACCACCTCCGGGGATCCTTAGCTCTTTCTGGGGGATTTCCTCACCCGAAGGATGGTGTCCTGGTGGGTTTGTAAATACCTCTCCCCTGGGTCCTACATAGGCTGGGCCTGAAAATAAATTCCCCGTGTATAAACAAACAAACAAATGGGGCTAGGTCTAGGACATACACAGATCACTTTTAATTCTCTTCAGTTCTTTTGGGAACAAACAAAGCTATGGGAATCAATCGTTCACTTCGAGCCCAAATCTGCCATGGAGGTAGATGACAGGAAGCCGTGATTGGCAGCACAGAATTAAACGGCAGACAGTGTGATATGGGCTATTATTGGCATAGAAGTTCGGAGCGAAGGGGTGATTATTGTGAAAGGAATGAAATGGCAAAAATGTACGGAGACTGACACAGGCTAAGCTCATCTCTGAGTCCCCACGAATGAGCTCACTTAATCTCGCTGCGGGTTTCTGAGGGCGCTGTTACCATGCCTGTTTCGCCAGGAGGTGGCCGAAGCTCAAAGAGCTAAGGGCCCGAGGTCACGAGTACGATAGGTAGGTGGTAGAGCCAAGTCCAGACTCGGGCAGTGCGACCTATCAAAAAGGGCCTTTTGGGTTCCGCCCTGGATGACAGCCGCCAGCCGCGATGAGCATGGGTCCCGCAAGACACAGCTGCCTCATCCTGACCGAGCCTGGACCAGGGTAGAAAATGTGCTGAAGGAGCGGCCTAATTGTAATGTTTGAAGCGCTGCTTAATATTTAGTGACACTAAACTTTAGACTTGCCTCAGCCATTCTCTACCCTGTCAACTTCTTTTCAAAAGAGATGCTTAGTCCTCTGCAGAAAATAAGGTAAAATATTCAATAATACTAACAAAGTTCAAAACCACAGAAGACAGCATAAACGACTGGAAGTGCCGCTCACTGGCTCCTAGAACTGCAAGAGGCCTCAGCAGCGTTTGGTCCGTGGAGGGAGCAAGGACATTCGGACCAAGTCGGCGACGTGCTAGAGGGGCAGCAACATGGCTGTCTCGCAGGGAGCGCCAAGCTGCGTCTTCGCGCTTCGACGCTCTTGCTGCAAACGCAGTCGCTGACCGAGACCAGATGCCGAATGGTGCATCCGGCCTCCCGCTGAAGGGTGAAGGTTATAGATTTTCACATGGTTATGACTGGGCCAGACTCTCCCAATTTTTAACTAATCCACGGCAGTGGCTAAGAGATGTAACAAATCTTTCAGCTTTTTAGGAAGCACTTACCCTTGAATAAGCTACAAGTAGGGTCCAATGGACCCTTTTATGAATTGTGCACTGTGGTCTCCTAAGCTCTATTTAGGCACATGCTGGGGTTTCAAGATTTTGGCCCCCTTTGGAGAACACCACAAGGGACCAGGGTCTCCTTGTTAGAGTCGAAGATGCTGCTGTTATAGGCAAAACAATGGAACAGGGAGTGAGTGGGGATAAACAGCAAGAAGGAGACGACGCTCTTCTTTTGTACTTAGAGCTTGAACTAGAGACAAACCTAAATGCGCTTAGTATGTTTCTAATACTTGGAGGGATTATTATAAAAAAACAAAACAAAACAATTACTATTCAACCAATAGCATATTTTCAAAAGTGTTAAAATGTTGAATACTTGTAAAATATCTTTCCTTTACTGTGGAGTTCAGCAGGTATAAAAACAATTATTTGCTTTTTAATTCAATAGTGCAGCGGTCACCAAGACAGGAGACCCTTTTAACTACTACCGATTTCTCGTTGCTTGCCCTTAGTTAGAATTTCTATATTCAGAAACAAAAATCTCTTGTAGTTACAGGTGGTATTTATAGGACAATACTGTATAAATTATTCTGGTGAAGTAAAAGTACTTAATTTTATCCATGTTACCTAATTCAAACTTATCATATAATGAGTCTTATGAAAGTTAACATTCGATGTGATTGGAAAGGCAATTTTAGTTATAACTCCTTTACTCTAATTAATTTAAATATCAGTGTTGTTCGTTATTCATTAAAATACTTTCTCACATACCTATAGATACTTTGTAGTTGACGAATTACTAAGCGTCTGTTTTTGTCCTTTTGCACATCTTTCTATTATTGTTTTTTAGTTCTTTTTGTCTCCTGTTTTTGAATACTTTCTGAAACAAATGAGTGCAATAAAATAAATCACGAATATTTTTTCTAAGCGAAGGTCTCCCAATATTTCCGAACACAATTTCTGATGGAAAATCACTACAAATAATGATAGAAACGGCTCAGGGACGTACATCAGGTTTTTACTGTCCCCAGAACTCTATTCTGATGATATATGCTTGTCCTTGTTTCTTAAAAGTGAAGAGAAGGCAGTTTGTGTAATTAGTGAGTTTAGATATTATATTTTCAGTTCTTCAGAATATTGAGAGAAAACTGAAGGAGACTGCATCCCTTTCTCGCCCCTTGCTCCCTCCCTGGATGCGCGCGCGCACACGCGCGTGCACACACACACACACACACACCCACACACACCCTGCGCCGGATGAAATTTTTTCCAACTGCACATTTTCTGGCAAATCTGCTTTCAAAAGTGCTTTGTAAATAGCGTTGCATTTTTGGGAAGTTATTGTTACAACTGTAGGGTTAATATTCCTTTAAGCATGTTCTTTGAATTACGGAACATTAAGTTGATTGACCTTTTCAGGGCAAAGCTATCGTGAAAAACAAGGCCCTCCTGTGTTTTACTAGTCATCTTTGCATGGTTCCTTTTATTTTCACTATTTAAAAAAATTGGTCTTCTTGTGTTTCTATTTTAGATATACTACTTCAATGGACTTCATACTACTTTCTAACTTATCTTTTTCTGATCCCCCCGCCCACCCCCTAAATGCAGCCAAAGAGTTGTAACAGAGAACGTGACTATTTCCCGGAAACCAGATGTTCAGAGGCCACTCGGTCCACCTCCCTGATGAACTGATAAATGGGGATCCAGTGAGAGACATCCCACTTGCATAGTTTTCCAATCTCCGCAGGCAGACAGCTCAGACACATTGAGTCAAACGAAGATCAGCATTCCCGTTTCCGCGGCATGTTTGCAGAACGCTGGGAATGACCCCCGCCCCCCCCCACTTTTTTTTTTTCTTTCCCTTGCCCCCTCCCTCCTTCTCTCCCTCAGCCTCCTATTTTTTTTGAGCCATCGGGCATGGAAGGATAGATTTTGACAGCTAGAATGCTGTTCTGGAGAAACAACAACAAACCTGTGCTCTTCGGAATCGAGTGATTTAGTACGTGGATTATGCGGGGTGCTGCGTTTTAAAGCACAGCTGAAGCCCTGGGAATCCCATGCAATTACAAGTTCAGAGTGAGAGGAATTGGAACTCACAGTTGTGGCAGGTGGCCCCACTGTATCCCGTCTCATCGCAGGTACATTTGAAGCTGTCCCATGTTTGAGAGCACTTCCCACCATGCTCACAGTGATTGGGCACACATCTGTCAGAGAAAGAGACAAACAGAAAGAAACCAACAAAAAATGAGATTTATGAGTGGCCACATTCCAAGCTGTCTGGGCAATATATCATTTCAACGCCAGGTTGCCTTACCAAGACAATTAATCCTTGTTAGTTTGAGCAGATTAATAGGATTCGTGATGGAAGGTGCCAGGCGCACAAAAGATGATATATCACAGGCCTGGTGTTTCCCACTTTTGAGTAAACAGTAGAAATTAACAAACAGCTGAGCGGTTCATTTGCATCTCACAGATTCAGTTTTATTTTCCTTTTGCACCAAAACAAAGACACTAGCGAAATTTCCTCCTAGTGAGAGATGAAGGATCACTATCTTGGTCCCTGTCCTATTCTCTACCAAGGCCAATACTAAGTCAGAAGGAGGTAACACTGCGCTTTCCCCAGCAATCTGAGTTTTTGAAATAATGTCGTGGCGACAGCAATGGGAACGTACCAGCCTAATGGGAAAAGATTTCTAAGTCTTCCTTACCCTTTCCCCGATGACCGCCTTCAAAAGGTAGTGAGCATAAAAGGGGGAAAATGTGGTTTTGAGTTCAAATCTTTGTCTTTCTATTTACTAGCTCGGCTGTTGTGCCTAAGTAATTTAAACTTTCTGAGTCACACTTTTCTCATTTGAGAAACGGGGTAATTATACCTATCTTATGCAGAGTTTTAAGGTTTAGAGATAATGTTCATAAGCTACTTGGTTACTAGACAGGAAATAGAGGGTCAATAAATGAATGGGAGCTGTGAATACCTGGATCACAGCTTTCAGGGCACAAGGTCAGTGCTTGCCTGTACCCTGGCATCAGTGAAGGTGACTTTTTTTTTTTTTTTTAGGAATACTCTTGTTTCAATAGCACAGACTCTTGCCTTCCTTCTGTTCCTATCTCCTCATCCTTCCTGCCAATTCTTCTCTCCAACTTCCCCACAAACTGATTCTTTTAAAGAATATATTATATTTTATTGATTATTCTATTACAGTTGTCTCAATTATTCCTCTTTGCCCGCTCTTCACCCAGCACCCCCCCTCCCTCAGGCAACCCCCACACCATTGCTCATGTCCACGGGTCATGCATGTAGGTTCTTTGGCTGCTCCACTCCCCACACTGTATTTTACATCCCCGTGGCTATTCTGTAACTGCCTATTGGTAGTTACTTAATCCCCTCACCCCTCCACCTATTCCCCCCAGCCTCCCCATCTGGCAACCATCAAAACTCTCTCCATGATTCCATGTTCATGATTCTGTCTCTGGTCTTACTTGCTTAGTTTGTTTTTTAGATTCAATTGTTGATACGTATGTATTTGTTGCTATTTAATTGTTCATAGTTTTGATCTTATTTTTCTTAAATAAATCCCTTTAACATTTATATAATAATGGTTTGATGATGATGAACTCCTTTAGTGTTTTCTTGTCTGGGAAGCTCTTTAGTTGCCCTTCGATTCTAAATAATAGCTTTGCTGGGTAGAGGAATCTTGGCTGTAGGTCCCTACAAGCTGGAAGGGATGGCAAGAAATACTCAAAGTTTCTTTTGAGAAATCAGCAAACAGTCTTATGGGAACTCTCCTGTAAGTAACTATCTTCTTTACTCTTGCTGCTTTTAAGATTCTCTCTTTATCTTTAACCTTTTGCATTTTAATTATGATGTGTCTTAGAGTGGGCCTCTTTGCATTCATCTTGTTTGGGACTCTCTGTGCTTCTTGGACTTGCATGTCTATTTCCTTCACCAAATTAGGGAAGTTTTCTTTCATTATTTTTTTCTAGTAGTTTTCTAATTTCTTGCTCTTTCTCTTCTCCTTCTGGTACCTATATGATGCAAAGGTTGGTCCACTTGAAGTTTTCCTAGAGTCTCCTTACACTATCCTTATTTTTTTGGATTCTTTTTGCTACTTTTTGTTCTAATTGGTTGTTTTTTGCTTCCTTATGTTCCAAATCATTGATTTGATTCTTGGTTTCATCCACGCTACTGTTGCTTCCCTATAAATTGTTCTTTATTTCTATTAGTGTATCCTTTGTTTCTAACTAGATCCTTTTTATGCTGCTGAGGTCCTCACTAAGTTCCTTGAGTATCCTTATAACCAGTGTTTTGAACTCTAATAGATTGCTTATCTCCATTTCGTTTAGCTCTTTTTCTGGACTTTTGCTCTGTTCTTTCATTTGGGTCATGCTTCTTTTGTCTCCTCATTTTGGCAACTGCCTTGTGTTTGTTTCTATGTATTAGGTAAAGCTTCTTTGACTCCATGTCTTGGTAGTGTGCCCTAATGTAGTAGGTGCCCTGTAGGGTCCAGTGGCATAGCCGCCCTTATCAGCCAAGCTGGGTACTCGAGGTGAGCCCTTCGTATGGGCTGAGTATACTCTCCTCTTGTAGTTGAGACTTGGTTGCTGTTGGCGGATCAATGGGAGGGATTTACCCAGGCCAGTCAGCTGCAAGGACTGGCTGTAACCACTGACCACCAACCTCCGCCCTCCATGGAGGATCAGCTGTGCAGGGGCAGGGTGGTGGTGCTCCATCGTGGTCTGTAGCTGTCTGTGGGGTGCATTGGCCCTGGGGTTTCCCGGGTGGTGCAGGCCAAGGTCACACTCCACCTGTGTTTTGCCTGGGGCACCCTGCCTGGGCTGTAAAGCAACCTGAGATGGCTGCTACTTGTGCTGAGCTTGAAGATTCCCAAGTAAAGCCAAGCTGTGACTAATCTGGCTGCTGCTAGGGCTCATTGAAGCCAGCTGTTGCTTGTTTGATAGTTCCTTTTTTTATAGTGTGGTTCAAATCCCATGTATCTTTGTTTATTTTCTGTCTGGAAGTTCTAACCATTGCTCATAAAAGGGTCCTGAAGTCCTCTACAATTACTGTATCATTTTCTATTTCTCTATTAAGATATGCTAGTATTAATATATGTTAGTGCATAATGTTTGGAGCACATCTATTTATAACTGTTATATCTTTTTGATATATTGACCTCTTTATCATATAGCAGCCTTCTTTGTCTCTTGTTGCCATTTTTGATGAAGTCTGTTTGTCTAATGTAAGTATGACTATATGAACTGACTTTTGGTTACCACTTGCTTGGACTATTCGCTTCTACCCCTTTGTTCTGAGCCCATGTTTGTGTTTGGAACTGAAATACATCTCTTGAAGGCAGCCTTTAGTTGGATCTTATTTTTTAATTCCTGTAGCCCCTCTGTGCCCTTGATTGATGAGTTCAATCCATTTCCATTCAGGGTAATTATTGATATATGATGACTTAGGACTCCCATTTTCTCTCATTTTCTCATAGTTTTGTTATCTTCATCATTTATTTTTCCTTTTAAAGTTGGGGATTTTCTATAATGATGTGCTCAGTTTCCTCCTTTTACAGGTTTTGTGTCTTTACTCTAGATTTTTGTTTTGTGGTTACTATGAGGTTTGTGTACAATGTTTCATAGATAAAATAGTCTTTTTTTTCTGATGATAGCAACTTATTTTTACTTGCATATTCAAGTTCCATCATTTTCCTTCTTCTTTTTTATATTATTGTTGCCACAAATGATCCCTCTTTTGCTGCAAGTTGATTACCAAATTTTAGTCACAATAGTAGTTTTTAATGCATTTGTAACCTTTATGCTATATTTGATGATTTAATACCTTATTTTAAAATAGAGTTACAATTTTCTAGTTCTGCCTTTTTATCACCTTACTTAAAGTGTTTTGTACTTTTTTTATTTCAAGTAAGGGGAACTCCTTTGAACACTTCTTGTGATGCAGGTCTAGTGGTGGTGAACGCATTCAGTTTTTGTGTTTCTGGAAAAGCCTCTTTCTCCCTTATTATCTGAAGGATAACATTGCTGGATAGAGTATTCCTGGCTGGCAATTTTTATCTTTCAATACTTTGAATACATCATGCCACTCTCTTCTTGCCTGCAAAGCTTCTGCTGAGAAATTTGCTTATTAACTAACGGGGATTCCTTTGTAGAATACCTTCTTTTTTTCTTTTGATGCCTTAAAGATTCTTTCTTTATCATTGACTTTTAACAGCTTCATTATAATATGTCTGGGAGAATATCTTTTTGCATTCAGATCATAAAGTGATCTAACCGCTTTATGGACTTGTATGCCTAGTTCTTCCCCTGGGTTTGGGAAGTTTTCAGCTATTACTTTCTTAAGTAAGCTTTCTACCTGCCTCTTCTTCTCTTCTTCTTGTGGCGTACCTATTATTCATTCTTATTTTGGCTGTAATGGAGCTCTCACAGGTTTTCTTGAATTTTTGAAAATCTTAATTCTCTTTCCTCTTCCTCTGAAATCATTTCTAGATTCCCATCTTCCTGATCACACATTCTCTTCCAGCTGATCAGCAACTATTACCAATGCTTTCTAACGCATTTGTCATCTCATTTATTGAATTCTTCCGTTCCAGTTGTCTAGTACTTTTTTAGAATTTCAATCTCTTCAGTAAAGCGCCCCTTCTGTGCATTAATTTTATTCTTCAGTTAACTGAATTACCTTTTTGAGTTTTCTTGTAGCGTGTTGCATTTCTTCATAATGGCTATTTCAAATTCTGTATCGGTTAGATCACCATCTTCCGTGACTTTGCATTTGGTTCCTGGAGAATTGTCTTTTCACTTTTGTGATGCCGTATTGTCGTGATTTTTCACGCAGTTTGATTAGAGGTATGTCTGCTGGTGCTTTTGAAGTAGCCAACAGCTTTCTGATGAAGGTAAAGCTTTGCTCACTTTGAGTTTAACAGTTCAGTATATTGGCCATTAGAGGCGTTTTTTCCAGCAGGTGGCGCTATATCACAAGTTTTTGTTTCTCTCACAAGGATCTACTTGGGAGCTCCTACTGTCCACCCTCCAGCCCTTCTGCCGGACAGGCCTTTGGTGCTAACATCACAGCTGGTGTGGCCTGGGTCGTGGGCACCACTGCCAGCGGGGCCACCTCTGCTCCCCTGGTTCTGTCGCCTCCATGAGGTCCAATCACCGACCTCTAGATACACAGATGTATGGATCTCTC